AGAAGAAGTTTCTCTCGAAAGAAGTGAGTGGGAGGAATGTAGAACTTGATGAGGTAATTGTACCTTCTCCTGAATTGGAAAGTGGTTCATCACAGAAATCAGTTTTTAGTGATTCCTACGCCAATTAATGAGGAAGCTAATGATGATGATCATGAAACTTCAGATCAAGTTACTATCTAACCTCGTAGGTCAGCCAGAGTATGGTCCGCACCAGAGTGGTACGGTAATCCTTTCTGGAAGTCATGTTACTAGACCATGACGAACCTACGAACTATGAGGAAACGATGATGAGCCCAGATTTCACAAAATGGCTTGAGGCCATGAAATCTAATATGGGATCCATGTATGAGAACAAAGTGTGGACTTTGGTTGACTTGCCCAATGATCGGCAAGCCATTGAGAATAAATGGATCTTCAAGAGGAAGATAGACGCTGATAGTAGTGTTACTATATACAAAGCTTGAATTGTCGCAAAAGGTTTTCGACAAGTTCAACATGTTGACTACGATGAGATTTTCTCACTCGTAGCGATGCTTAAGTCTATCCGAATCATGTTAGCAATTGCCACATTTTATGAATCTGGCAAATGGATGTCAAAACTGCATTCCTTAATGGATTTCTTAAAGAAGAGTTGTATATGATGCAACAAGAAGGTTTTGTCAATTCTAAAGATGCTAACAAAGTGTGAAAGTTTCAGCGATCCATCTATGGACTGGTGCAAGCATCTCGGAGTTGGAATATATGCTTTGATAAAGTGATCAAAGCATATGGTTTTATACAGACTTGCGGTGAAGCTTGTATTTACAAGAAAGTAAGTGGGGGCACTACAACCTTTTTGATAAGTATATGTGAATGACATATTGTTGATAGAAAATGATGTATAATTTTCTGGAAAGCATAAAGGAGTGTTTGAAAGGAGTTTTTCAAAGAAAGACCTCGGTGAAGCTACTTACATATTGAGCATCAAGATCTATAGAGATAAATCAAGACGCTTGATATATTTTTTAATGAGTACATACCTTGACAAGATTTTGAAGTAATTCAAAATGGAACAGTCAAAGGAGTTCTTGCCTGTGTTGCGAGGTGCGTAGTTGAGTAAAGACTCAAAAGCCGACCACGACAGAAAATAGAAAGAGAATGAAAAGGCATTCCCTATGCCCCAGCCATAGGTTATATAAAGTATCCTATGTTGTGTACCAGACCTATTGTGTACCTCACCAAGATTTTGGCAAGAGGGTACAATAGTGATCCAGGAGTGGATCACTGGACATCAGTCAAAATTATCCTTAGTGGAAAAAGGATATGTTTCTCGGTTATGGAGGTGACAAAAAGTTTGTCGTAAAGAGTTACGTCGATATAAGTTTTGACACCGATCTGGATGACTCTGAGTCTCAATCTGGATACATATTGAAAGTGGGATCAATTAGCTAGAGTAGATCCTTGCAGAGCATTGTAGACATATAAAAATTTGCAGAATACATACGGCTTTGAATGTGGTAGACCCGTTGACTAAATTTCTCTCACAAGCAAAACATGATCACTCTTTGGGTGTTAATCACATAGCGATGTGAACTAGAATATTGACTCTAATAAACCCTTTGGGTATTAGTCACATGGAGATGTGAACTAATCACATAAAGATGTGAACTATTGGTGTTAAATCGCATGACGATGTGAACTAGATTATTAACTCTAGTGCAAGTGGGAGACTGAAGAAAATATGCCCTAGAAGCAATAATAAAGTTGTTATTTATATTTCCTTATATCATGATAAATGTTTATTATTCATGCTAGAATTGTATTAACCGGTTGAATACATAGACAAACAGAGTGTCCCTAGTATGCCTCTACTTGACTAGCTCGTTAATCAAAGATGGTTAAATTTCCTAGCCATAGACATGCGTTGTCATTTGATGAATGGGGTCACATCATTAGAGAATGATGTGATGGACAAGACCCATCAGTTAGCTTAGCACTTTGATCGTTTAGTTTATTGCTATTGCTTTCTTCATAACTTATACATGTTCCTATGACTATAAGATTATGCAACTCCCGAATATCGAAGGAACACACTGTGTGCTATCAAACGTCACAACATAACTGGGTGATTATAAAGATGCTCTACAGGTGTCTCCGATGGTGTTTGTTGAGTTGGCATAGATCGAGATTAGGATTTGTCACTCCGATTGTCGGAGAGGTATCTCTGGGCCCTCTCGGTGATGCTCATCACTATAAGCCTTGCAAGCAATGTGACTAAAGAGTTAGTTACAAGATGATGCATTACGGAATGAGTAAAGAGACTTGCCGGTAACGAGATTGAACTAGGTATGATGATACCGACGATCGAATCTCGTGCAAGTAACATACCGATGACAAAGGGAACACCGTATGTTGTTATGCGGTTTGACCGATAAAGATCTTCGTAGAATATGTAGGAGCCAATATGAGCATCCAGGTTCCACTTGGTTATCGACCGGAGATGTGTCTCGGTCATGTCTACATAGTTCTCGAATCCGTAGGGTCCGCACGCTTAACGTTCGATGACTATTTGTATTATGAGTTATATGATTTAATGTACCGAAGGTTGTTTGGAGTCCCGGATGAGATCACGGACATGACGAGGAGTCTCGAAATGGTCGAGACATAAAGATCAATATATTGGAAGGCTATATTCGAACATCGGAAAGGTTCCGAGCGATTCGGGTATTTTTCGGAGTATCGGAGAGTTATGTGAATTCGCTGGGGGAAGTAGTGGGCCTTAATGGGCCATACGGGAAAGGAGAGAAGTGCCTCAAGGGGTGGTCGCGCGCCCCCATGGCAAGTCCGAATTGGACTAGGGAGGGGGCGGCGCCCCCCTCTTTTTCCTTCTCCCTCTCCTACTGTTCCCCCCCCCCTCTTGGAAAAGGAAGGGGACTCCAACTAGGATTGGGAATCCTAGTTGGACTTCCCCTATAGGCGCGCCCCTCCTAGGCCGGCCTCCTCTTCCCCCCTCCTTTATGTATGTGGGCAGGGGGACACCTCAAAGGCACTCCAAGATTTGTCTTAGCCGTGTGCGGTGCCCTTCTTCACAGTTTTCCACCTCGATCATATTGTCGTAGTGCTTAGGCGAAGCCCTGCATCGGTAACTTCATCATCACCGTCACCACACCGTCGTGCCGACGAAACTCTCCTCGGCCTTAACTGGATCAAGAGTTTGAGGGACATCACCAAGCTGAACGTGTGCAGATCGCGGAGGTACCACGCATTCGGTATTTGGATCAGTTGAATCGCGAAGACGTTCGACTATATCAACCGTGTTACTAAACGCTTTCGCTTTCGGTCTATGAGGGTACGTAGACACACTATCCCCTTTCGTTGTTATGCATCTCCTAAATAGATCTTGCATGTTCGTAGGAAATTTTTTGAAATACTGTGTTTCCCAACAATTATTCTTATTATAGATTAACTATATTTTTTATGGGTTATTCAACTTTTTTGTTGAGCCTTGCACTTGAAGGACGTGTGGTTTTTTGTTTCTACAAATAGATGAAGATGATTTTCGTTCTGTTTATAAAAGATGATCTTTTCTTTGTTGTTGGCCACCCGATCCAACGGATTCGTCGTTTCCTGCTGCCTGCCTCAGGAGGCAAATTTGACAAATTTAACCTGTGAACGAAATCAAATCACAGAATGAACTGCTCGTGAAACTATTTCACGCGGCTGACCTTTTTGTGTGACGCCCGACACGAAGACGTCACACTACATTGTGCAACGCCTCACAGATAGACGCTACACACCTGGTCAACATTGCACCCCAAACTGCCTAAAAATTGCTAAGTCATTGTGCAGAGCCTACGAGCTAGGCGCTGTACTGTATAGTGTGGCGCCTAGCTCTCAGGCGCTGCACTAGTGGTTGCACTACAAAATGAAGCAACCACTAGTGCAACGCCTAGAAGCTAGGCGCTACACTGTATAGTGTGGCGCCTAGCTCTCAGGCGCTGCACACTGACTTAGTAATTTTCGGATCACATGCGTGCGACGCTGGACAGGCGTGTAGCGCCTATCTGCGAGGCGTTGCACAGTGTAGTGTGACGCCTTCGTGTCGGGCGTCATACAAAAAGGTCAGTCGCGTGAAATAGTTTTACGGACAATTCATTCTGTGATTTGATTTTGTCCGTAGGTTAAATTTATCAATTTTGCCGCCTCAGGAACCCGCTGGCTATGGGCGTGCAAGAATCAATAGTCTCTTGTGTAGGAGTCCTAGCCGGCCGCGGTAGTACAAGAGGCGGCAAGGAGCTGCTGGGCAGGCCGCGAGCGCACGGTGTCCTGAAAGTTTCTTGCCGCCAACCGTTTTCTTAGTTAAGGGAAACCATAAAATTTGCCCCAAAAACCTTAGATACAACTACAAGGGAATTGAGGCTCAGTTTAAGGCTCCCATGACTGCATTGCTCTCACTCAGCACACTATGACTGCATTACTCTCACTCAGTATAAATCTTGAACAAACTATGTGTCCAGTAGAAACACGTCTTTTCTTCGGAATCATCGAATCTTTGTGAAAGCCTTGAAATAATTTTTTCATCCGATCAGCACAGACCGACCAAACCATCCGATATAAGGGGTGTTTGGATTAGCTTCAGATTTTAGGGTCCCGTTTAGATTGGTTTTAGTTTCTTTTTTTTAAACCATCGGTTTTAGTTTTTTTTAGGGAAACCATCGGTTTTAGTTTCTAGAAAGCGGATTTTTTGTCTATGGTCTTAAAAACTGATTTCTGTACGAAAGCTGGGGGAAGATAGTACTGTACGGTGCAGTACAGTCACTGCCATATGGGATATGGCCCATGTCATCCGCACTACAGCACCGTACGGTACTACAGAGGATCTCAACCATGTTTTAGTTGCTAGAAAGCTGGTTTTTATCTATGGTCTATAAAAATTAATTTCTATACAAAAGCTGGGAAGGTGTCTGGACATGACCACCACAAACGAAAACTTTCGCGGCCTCCCACCGCTGCAAACCCTCCTACGCTGCCGCCGTCCCACCGAATCCAGCTGGATCTGGCCACCACTGCCATTGTTGCACCATCCCGCCGTCTGGATCCACCGCCTCTCTTCCAATCGACCGCACCGTCACCACCCCACTTTCGCCGCCACATCCGCCACCGCACAGCCTGATGGCGCCAAAAAGCACGAAGGGCCAGTCTGGCTACTATGGCGTTCGGCCGCGACGATTCAGTTGCTTCAGCGTCGTGTTTCAGTGCGATGGACGACAGTACTGACTCGGCACCTTCGAGACAGCGGACATATTGCCATGTTCAAAAGAAATCATTTGCATGTTTGAAGTGCCGTATTTTGGGGCAGTTGTTGGAGATGAACAATTTTGAGTGCCCTAAAATTCACTTTTTGGTGCCTCATGTTTTACCGCAACAGCTTTTTGGTGTCCTAAAATAGGGCTTTTATCGGAGATGCTCTTTCCATTTTGATTTTATACCTTTTGGCCATTTATACCATCGTGTGAGATGTTTGAACATCGCAATTTTACAAATATCTATAAAAAAAGGAAACATAATTTTTTCACTAAAACTGTGAAAGAAGATCTAAAAGGCGTCATCTTTATTCGGAGAATAAAACGGACGAGCTTTAACCCCACTCACACACCAACGCACCTTACAATCAATTTCATCGCCCTTTAAAGTACACGCAACCTTTCTTTCTATACTTCTATCTTCAGTTTCCTTTTCCTATCCGGCAGACAGGATCTGCTCCGGGTCCTCCTCCCCTAGCTGGCTGGAGACTGGGTTATGCCAGCGATCATGCTCAGTGCCATGCAAGGCTGGTCGGCCGGCACCTGCCAAGCACCACAGATCACACGAGAAATAAGCAAAGCATATTATGTTCAGTTAAGGATCCAGTAGAAATGTGGTGTGCCGCGACTTACGAAGTGGCCGGCGCCGAGGATCCAGTAGAAATGCAGGTTCTTGTAGGATCTGACGAAGGCCTTGGTGACCTTGGATGATCCGCAGGACAGAGGCTGCCTCGGCAGGCTCAGGAAGTTCTTCAGCCCATCCCATCTGAAAAGTAGACATGAATTTTTAGAGGCACGAGTGGCGTCTAAATCTTGCAAGAATCTGGAGAAAAGGGTCAGGGAGAAAGGCTTGATTACTTGAGCTTTTGCACCCATGCTTCCGCGCCCTTGGTCGAGCAAATCACATCCAGCTTCGCAAAGAGTACAAGTAAAGAAAAGAAAAAAAATTCCACTAAGCTCAGTCTGAAGAACATACAACATTAAGAGCGCCCTCTAACCACACACTGACGATGCCCTAAGTAAATTATATGCGTGTTAAAGCTATATAGATGAATAAATAAATAAAATAAATAGCTGAAAAGAACATCTGCAGTTTAAGCAACATGCACGTTCCAGCTAAAGTGGTCTGTTTCACTCCACTGTTTTGACCATGTACATGTGAGACGAGTAGATCGATGGCCGATTGCTGATGCGATCTGAGAATCTGACGATCTGTTCCGACCAATACAATCTGGGAAAAGATAAGTTTTCACTTGCGCGACACATTGTATACTATTCTGAACTTTTGGAGTTCTTTTGGCATGGACCCGCGGGTGTGGTTGTCATTCAGCTTAAAAAATGGAAGGTTCTCTCAAGGACGTCGGTTTTTCTGAACAACAGCCTGTCCGCGTCGTCATTAACACGATTTTCTCTCTCCTAATCGCGGTTGCTTACTCGTCACGGTGCTTCCGTTTGCTAATCTGACAGCAAGAGTAGGGCTATTCTAGTAAGCATGAGTGGATGTGTCTACGCCCATTAGTCGTTAGGACTTGTGCCAAACAACCAGTAAACTTATTATGGCATTCCAAATGTGTTTCTAGTAAGTATCCTAAGCAACTGTCGAGGCTTTTTACGAGCTGGAAGAGAGTAAAAACAATGCAGATCGATGCAGTGGAAGAGAGTAAAAGCAATGCAGAGAAGCAGGCACCTCACCTGGCCATTATAAACCGTGACATCTACGCCGTAAGACAGCAGCTCGTCGACCTGGATGATCAAGCATAAAGCAGAGAGTAAATCAGTGACAGCCCACAAACCATCGTTCGCATCGATCAGTACAGTTTAACATTTTGAAGATCCATCCATCCTGTCATGGGATCCCGCGCTGGATCACTCGCCTCGTCGATCCGTGGCTTCATGAAGTCGTTGACCAGCGCGTTGTAGACGGGGTCCGACAGCTCGTGCCACCTGCAGGTTGGGGACAGGGACATCACATCATATCATGTGCTGGGTGTAACTGTAAACTAGAGCATGAAAGCGAGCTGTTGCCAATGGCGACGCAGGCTCACTCGTGATCTTTGGGGATGATCTTGAGCTTCTCCTTGACGACCCCGTTCATGATGCCGCCGAGGGTGTTGGTGGTGTTGGAGCCGGCTTCCTCCTGGCTGCCGCCGAGGTACGTCGAGTACTTCATCACTTGCGCGCTGCTCGACGTCGTCGGAGTCGACGAGGTCGCCGGTAGGTCCGCGGCCACCGGGTCCATGCCGGCGTCGAGCAAGAAATTGTACATGTCCTGCAAATTGAAATTGCGTTATGCTATCCGTCAGCAAAGGAAATGAGACAAGCACAAGGGTCAAAGAGTCAGCACTCACGACGCTGGCGCTCTTGGAGTCAATGAAATCCAACAGCTCCGACCACGACCCCTGCGAGTCGGCCAGCCGCCCGGCCGCGATCTGCTCCTTCACCGTCGCCGCCTTCCTGAGGCCACAATTCGCGTGCGCATGTGACCGGAGAGTTTTAATTTATTTTTTCCTTCGAAAAGAAAGCCCCGGGAAGCATGCAATGCAAGAACTGAGCTGAGAAATTTAAGAGGACGGTGCAGTCGTGTTTACTTCTTGGCGGCGTCGCCGGCGTTGTCGTCCAGCCTCGAAACCTCCAGGAGCAGCGGCGCGTAAGCGAGCTGCATGCACCGATCAAATTAAATCAGCAATCGGTTCCACACACACACACACACACACACACACACACTCGATCGTGCGCTCTCCAGCAAATGGCCGATTTGCTCACCGTGAAATCCTCCGGCGAGACCCAGCTATCCCCGAGCGCGACGCCGGCGAGCTTGATCTTGAGGTCGCCGGCACGGACGGCCCTTGCGACGGAGAGGCCGAGCGTGGCCGCGTACTTTCCGCCGTAGGACTCGGCGACGAGGAAGAGGGGGCTCCCCTGCTGCAGGGTGGGCAGCTCCTTGGCGAGCGCCTTGAGGAGCGTGGTGGCGTCCGTGGCCGCCTGCCAGTCAGTCGTCACCAGTAGGCTGTCGTCCTCAACGTAACTGTACCCGACACCCACAGGGTTGTCCTGCCATTGACGCACGGTACTCGGTTGGTGTTGCAGACAAAAAACAGCGAGGCGAGAGGAAGAAGACGAGGGAGGGTGTCGCGGTTTGTGGTAGGGATACCACGAAGATGAGGTCGGCCTTCTGCAGCCACGTCGAGTTCCGAGGCTTCAGGTTGACGTCGAGGGGCCCGACCTCCATGAAGTTGCCGATGCCCACCCCCGACGCTCCCTGAGATGAAGACCAATATGATTAGCTCTTGCTGAAGTCAGAATTCTTGCTTGAGAAGCTGCGAGAGGGGAGGAAGATGGACCGTACAGGACCGCCCTGTAGCCAGAGGACGGTCGGCCATGGCCTGGACGGCGTCGACACCCTCTGGGGGCTCTTGTAGTACCACCAGAACAGGTGAGCCTCTGCAGCGCAGAAACAGAGCTTCAGAAGAATTCTCACGTGAAAGATGACCAGCCAGCAGGAGAAAATTGGGATCGAGATGGTGCAAAATGCAAGCGACATGGCGGGACGTTACTTGGTCGGACTTCGACGAACCCCCAGAGCTCCGTGCCGTCGGGGTTGCCGGCGGTGACCGAAGCCGCCGGGCTGGCCCGGAGCAGGGAGAGGCAGAGGAGGAGGGGAAGCAGAGCAAGCAGAGGTCGACCGTGCTTGTCCATTTCCAACTGGCGGGTGGCTTGTGGTTTCTGAGTGCGAGTGGCACGTACTGTGGCCAGCAACAGTCTAAATAGGCGGCGTCTCACCGTCCCATCCCGTTATCCCACGCGTGGGCGACCAGGTATAGCCGTATAGACAACCCGGTGTTGCATGGAATATCGACGAATCATTGATCTCGTCTTCTTTCTCACTGCGATTTTTTACATTTGCTGTTCATCACCCAGCTAGTGGCAACATTCCAGCACGTTTGTCGATTGGTTATCGCATGAAGTAATTGTCTTTTTTTTTTCTTTGGAGAAAACTTCCATTCTGCTCAAAGAAAATAAATATATTCATTCCAGCATGTCTGTCAATTCATCAAACATCATGGCAATATAAAGAATACCGAAAATATAATAAATATCATTTATGTCCATAGACCACCTATCGATGACTACAAGCACTCGAGCGAGATGAAGTCACGTTGCCGTTATCACCCCTCCCTTATTGGAGACGGGTAAACCTTGTTTTAGTAGATAGTCGGAAAGTCGTCGTGCTAAGGTCCAAAGGACCAGCGCACTAGAACAACAACCATCACCGATAAAAAGAAATAAGATCAAAAGGATCAAACATATAGACACAAATACGCCGATGAACGAAAATCAGATCAAAGCAAATCCACTGAAGAGAAACACCAATTAATCCCACCAGATCCACCAAAGGCACACCTCCATGCACTTTTCAATGATGCTAGACGCTCCATCGAGACTGCTAGGCTGGGAGAATCTTATTCCATTTTCAGTGAGCCGCTACCGCCTCGCCTTCCTGAGCAGGACACAAACCCTAGATAATTTTTTTTTGAAAAAAAGAATCAGGAGCTCTACCGTTGGCAAGGGACGGGATCCACCATACATTCATGGCCAAAAACCACAGAAGACGAGACAGACCAGCGATGGCGCCAACAAAAGGTGGGAAACCCTAATTGGAACCACTCTAGTACATGATGTGTTTCGGGCCAGACTCTACGAACGGTTATCGGAGGCACAAAAGACAATGAGCACCCACAACACTGTTGCCTGAATTTGTTTTTATTTCAATCAATTTTCATCGTGACCACTCGATGCGCATCCAACAAATGAAGTAGACGCTAGTTGTTCTGAGTGACCAAAATTTACTTACTATTTCTATAGAGGAACAACGCCACGTCATTTCAACTAACAACGTGACGCTTCAGACATGGGGTTTTGATCTCTTGTGTAATCATGCTGTTACCGAGATGCCCGGCCAACTTCAACTCATCGATGACTCTTAGCGCATTTTCAACATCGATCCATAAATTTTTTCCCGTATCCGTCCGCGGATAAAAAGACCAGCACATAGGTACGGATGCAGTAGTCAGCCATCCAACACTACCTGCATATATTGGACCCCGTTCTCGCCGCAATCCTCCCACTTCGGCCAGAGCGGGCTCCCCCCCTCCCCCTCGGAGGAGGAAAACCGCACCCACCCGAGCACGTAGCCGGGCACCTGGGCGGCCAGCATGGAGGACAGTCAGGACAAGGCAAGGCGCAGCATGCCACGGGTGGCGTCCTCGGGCTGCAACAACTTCCCCAACTCGGTGAGCACCGCGATCACGACGACGACGATCAAGGCAACTGAAAAGACAACTCATGGAGAGACACCCTCCTGGGTCACGGGCGCCAGCCAAAGAGCAAGTAGCCGGCGGTGGAAGCGCTGAGACAACGCAACAGAACACCGGCCGTGAGGCAGCACCAGGGCGAGGCCAGAGGCCGCTCCACGGTGCGCTTTGCCTCCCCCACGTCAACCACGGTGTTGCGCGCTACACTACCCCTCTCGCTGCTGCCAAGGGCGTTGAGGACCCTGGAGAAAGACCCAATTGCGGTGTTCTTCTCCGACTTAGGATGCGCCCTCCCACCGCCACCGCACACAGACTGCATGCAGGTGGAGTTTGAAAATGCTATGTTGGAGGCCCTCACAAGCCCTCTCGACTTCAACAACGATGACGTGCAGGGGCTGAGCGTATCCTCCCCCAAGCGGGTTGTGGCTGGGCCCGTGCCCACCGCCCTCCTGTCAAACGTCCTGCCCTGCGTCGCCCAGTTTACGCCGGCCATGGTGGAGTATGATACATCTCCGTCGTATCTACTTTTCCAAACACGTTTGTCCTTATTTTGGACTCTAACTTGCATGATTTGAATGGAACTAAACCGGACTGACGCTGTTTTCAGCAGAATTGCCATGGTGTTATTTATGTGCAGAAACAAAAATTCTCGGAATGACCTGAAACTCCACGGAGATTATTTTTGGAAATAATAAAAAATACTGGCAAAGAATCAAGGCAAGGGGCCCACACCCTAGCCACGAGGGTGGGGGCGCGCCTGCCCCCCTGGGCGCGCCCCCTACCTCGTGGGCCCCCTGAAGCTCCACCGACCTCAACTCCAACTCCATATATTCGTGTTCGGGGAGAAAAAAATCAGAGAGAAGGATTCATCGCGTTTTACGATACGGAGCCGCCGCCAAGCCCTAAACTCTCTCGGGGCGGCTGATCCGAAGTCCGTTCGGGGCTCCGGAGAGGGGAATCCGTCGCCGTCGTCATCATCAACCATCCTCCATCACCAATTTCATAATGCTCACCGCCGTGCGTGAGTAATTCCATCGTAGGCTTGCTGGACGGTGATGGGTTGGATGAGATTTATCATGTAATCGAGTTAGTTTTTGTTAGGGTTTGATCCCTAGTATCCACTATGTTCTGAGATTGATGTTGCTATGACTTTGCTATGCTTAATGCTTGTCACTAGGGCCCGAGTGTCATGATTTCAGATCTGAACCTATTATGTTTTCATGAATATATGTGAGTTCTTGATCCTATCTTGCAAGTCTATAGTCAGCTACTATGTGTTATGATCCGGCAACCCCGAAGTGACAATAATCGGGACCACTCCCGGTGATGACCGTAGTTTGAGGAGTTCATGTATTCACTATGTGTTAATGCTTTGGTCCGGTACTCTATTAAAAGGAGGCATTAATATCCCTTAGTTTCCGCTAGGACCCCGCTGCCACGGGAGGGTAGGACAAAAGATGTCATGCAAGTTCTTTTCCATAAGCACGTATGACTATATTCGGAATACATGCCTACATTACATTGATGAACTGGAGCTAGTTCTGTGTCACCCTAGTTTATGATTGTTACATGATGAACCACATTCGGCATAATTCTCTATCACCGATCCAATGTCTACGAGCTTTTCACATATTGTTCTTCGCTTATTTACTTTTCTGTTGCTATTGTTATCATCACTACAAAATACCAAAAATATTACTTTCGCTACCGTTACCTTTTGCTATCGTTACCACTACTATCATATTACTTTGCTACTAAACACTTGCTGTAGGTATTAAGTTTTCAGGTGTGGTTGAATTGACAACTCAGCTGCTAATACATGAGAACATTCTTTGGCTCCCCTTGTGTTGAATTAATAAATTTGGATTGAATACTCTACCCTCGAAAATTATTGCGATCCCCTATACTTGTGGGTTATCAAGACTATTTTCTGGCGCCGTTGTCGGGGAGCATAGCTCTATTCTGAGTCACTTTGGGATTTATATCTGCTGGTCACTATGAAGAACTTGAAAGACGCGAAAACAAAAATTTATCCCTCAAGTACGAGGGTGGGCGTAAGGAACTGTCATCTAGCTCTGCACTTGATTCACCTTCTGTTTTGAGTAAGCTTGTGACACCCAAACCTGCTTCTGCTATTAATTCTGATATGTCGCATATTATTGATGATGCCACTTCTGCTATGCATGATACTTATGATGAAACTACTTCTATGCTTGATACCACTGTGCCACTTGGTGAGTTTCTTGATGAACAACTTGCTAGGGCTAGAGAGAATGAAATTATTGAAATTGATAATATTGATGAAAGTGATGATGAAGGCTCTCCTAATAAATATGAATTACCTATTGTGCCTGAGGGCTATGTTATGGATGAAGAAACTAAAAGAGAATTTCTTGCATGCAATGATAGAAGTGATCTTAAGAAAATATTAGCTAAACTTAAACAAAAAACTCTGAATGCTAGAATGAAATATGATCCTGCTTATGTTACTTCACCTATCTTTGTTACTGATAAGGATTATGAATTCTCTATTGATCCTGATATAATCACTTTGGTTGAATCTGATCCTTTTTATGGCTATGAATTTGAAACTGTTGTGGCACATCTTACTAAATTAAATGATATAGCCACGCTGTTCATTAGTGATGAGAGAACTCGCTACTTTTATATCCTTAAAGTATTTCCGTTCTCATTAAATGGTGATGCTAAGATATGGTTTAATTCTCTTGATCCTGGTTGTGTGTGTAGTCCCCAGGGTATGATTTATTACTTCTCTGCTAAATATTTCCCTGCTCATAAGAAACAAGCTGCCTTAAGGGATATATAATTTTGTGCAAATTGAAGAAGAGAGTCTCCCACAAGCTTGGGGAAGGCTTCTCCAATTACTTAATGCTTTGTCTGATCATCCTCCTAAGAAAAATGAAATACTTGATATCTTTTATAATGGACTAACCGATGCTTCCAGAGACCACCTGGATAGTTGTGCTGGTTCTGTTTTCAGGGAAAGAACACCAGATGAAGCTGAAATTCTATTGAATAATATGTTGACAAATGAAAATAATTGGACACTTCCTGAGCCTTATTCCTAAACCAACTCCGAAGAAAAGGGGTGTTCTATTTCTCAGTCCTGAAGATATGCAAGAGGAAAAGAAATCCATGAAAGAAAGGGGTATTAAAGCTGAAGATGTTAAGAATTTACCTCCTATTGAAGAAACACATGGTCTTAATTTACCGCCTGTTGAAGAAATATATGGTCTTGATAACCCGACACAGGTAGTAAAGGTAAATTCTCTCTATAGATATGATAAAGCTGAAATCCCTCCTACTAAGTTTGCTAGCCAATGTTTGGATGAGTTTGATAACTTTATGGTTAAACAAGAAGACTTCAATGCTTATTTTGGTAGACGATTGAAACAAAATGCTTATATGATTGAACACTTGGGTGATTATATGTCTAGAGTTAAAGGTGAACTTAAACTCATTAGTAAACATGCTTCTATGGTTACCACTCAAGTAGAACAAGTACTTAAAGCTCAGAATGATTTTCTCAATGAATTAAATAGTAAGAAAAATGATAATGTTGTTAGAGTTATGACTAGAGGTGGTAAAATGAGCCAGGAACCTTTGTATCATGAGGGCCATCCTAAGAGAATTGAGCAAGATTCTCAGAGAAATGATATTGATGCTCCTAGTCCTTCTAAGAGGAAGAAAAAGAAAAATGATAGGACTTTGCATGCTTCTAGTGAACCTATTATTGACACACTTGAGAATCTCAATGATATCTCTATTTCTGATGCTGAAACACAATGTGGTAATGAACATGAAACTAGTGATAATGTTAATGATAATGTTCATGTTGATGCTCAACCTAGCAATGATAATGAGGTAGAAGCTGAACCTGTTGTTGATCTTGATAACCCACAATCAAAGAATCAACGTTATGATAAAAGAGACTTTGTTGCTAGGAAACACGGTAAGGAAAGAGAGCCTTGGGTTCAGAAACCCATGCCTTTTCCTCCTAAGCCATCCAAGAAAAAGGATGATGAGGATTTTGAGCGCTTTTCTGAAATGATTAGACCTATCTTTTTGCATATGCGTTCGACTGATATGCTTAAAATGAATCCTTATGCTAAGTACATGAAAGATATTGTTACTAATAAAAGAAAGATACCGGAAGCTGAAATTTACATCATACTTGCTAATTATACTTTTAAGGGTGGAATACCTAAGAAGCTAGGAGATCTAGGAGTACCAACTATACCATGCTTCATTAAAAGAAACTATGTTAAAACTGCTTTATGTGATCTTGGAGCCGGTGTTAGTGTTATGCCTCTCTCTTTATATCGTAGACTTGATTTGAATAAGTTGACACCTACTGAAATATCTTTGCAAATGGCTGATAAATCAACTGCTATACCTGTCGGTATTTGTGAGGATGTGCCTGTTGTAACACCCCGAATATGATTTTCCCAATATGTAATCCAACTCTTGCCGTTTCCGGCCTTAAATTATTTTATTTTCTCGGGTTCGGGTTTTTGGTCTCCGTGTGTTGTTGTCGTTGTCATGCATCTCACATCATGTCATCATGTACATTGCATTTGCATACGTGTTCGTCTCATGCATTCGAGCATTTTCCCCGTTGTCCGTTTTGCATTCCGGCGCTCCGTTCTCCTCTGGTGGTCATTTCTACCTTTCTTTCGTGCGTGGGGATTAAACTTTTCTGGATTGGACCGAGACTTGCCAAGAGGCCTTGGTTTACTACCGGTAGACCGCCTGTCAAGTTTCATACCATTTGGACTTCGTTTGATGCTCCAACGGTTAACCGAGGAACCGAAAAAGCCTCGTGTGTGTTGCAGCCCAATACCCCTCCATTTTGGCCCAAAACCCACCAAAACCCTTTCCATCATCTAGAGCGTTTGATCACGATCGCGTGGCCGAAAACCGCACCTTATTTGGACTCTCCTAACTCCTCCTATGCCTATTTAAAGACCCCCTCCGTTTTCTTCTTCTTCTTCTCCCCGAAACCCTAGATCTGACCCTCCGCACGTCGGACATTGTCCGCGAGGCTCCGGCCACCACCAACTCCGCCCGTGCCTTCTCCTCCGACCGGATCCTCCCCGCGGCAAGATCTCCGGCGGCTCCGACGATTTTCCGGCGAACCTCGTAAACCGCGCCGGCCGGATCTAGATCTGAAATTTCGGATCGGTTGACTTTTTTTGCCCGAAACCCTAATTATTTGCTCATGTTCATCATGTCGTAACTTTGCACCCGTAACTCCGTTTTGGGCATATAGCATATCAAAATGTTCATCTCAGAGAGAACATTATTTCAACTCATTGCATCATTTTCATTTGAGTTCATCTTGATGCCCGAAATGCTGTTAGAAGAATGCTATTTGAGATAATTGTCAGATCTGCTGCTCCAATTAGAGATTTGTCATTTTTGCCATGATTTATGTGTGCATGATATGCCCCTGAGCTCTTCATGAGTTTC